CACGTACATGTTTTTGCGGCATAACACGGTATAAATCCTCCAATGCACCAAGTAAGGATGCAATGTAAATTTGAAAATGGTGTGGGAAAACTGCACCCATGGCTTTCTGAATGCTATAAAATACATGCACCTTTACAGATATATGTGGTTTTATACATCTGCCACTCACAGCAAGAACAGACATTTGTTAGCGTTCCATCCAATGTGTAGCAGCTCCTGCATTGAGAGAAACTTTTATTATAAAGTCAGTGATAAGAGCAGCTGGCTTAGACTCCCCAAAGGGCATTAAAGGGACAGTGTAGACACCCAAAATACTTCAGCTAATTGAAGTGGTGTGGGTGCACTGTCCCTGTCCCCTGAATTCTGCAATGTAAAACACTGCAGTTTTTGAGACCACCACCAGAGGCACTTCCTGCAGTTTCACCAGACAGCCACCAGAGGTACTTCCTGCAGTTTCACCAGACAGCCACCAGAGGTACTTCCTGCAGTTTCACAGAGTTTCAGGTAAGTCCAGATAAACATGGTAGCTCCGAATAAGTAAGGAAGAAAAAAGAATTAAAAAAAAGAAAAAAAAAAACACTAATGAAGTTCTTAATATAGAGTAAAAGCATTAATGTACTCTACACACTACAATTCTCATCATCTCCCCTCAGCTAAGGATCATGGGAAGTGGTGTCAGTGAAGCATTTGCTCTAGTGCACAGAAAACAAGATGTTCAATTGAATGAGTATCACACAAAATATTAGGATACAACTGTGACAGAACTCTCAATTTTGCTGCTTAAACAATCAGCAAGTCAGCATACGGATACCTTAATTATGGTCTATTGTTAACACAAAAAGAGTGCATTATGTGGTGGTACAAAGAAATAAAAACACTCTAATCCTACAGGCCGTCATGGGAAACAAATATATTTTCCCCATTTCTTTCTTTAAACCCAGAGAAATCTACAATCACATAAAAAGTCAAACTTGCCCACTGTCCGCATAGAACCCGTACACAGAATATTTATTCCTGGACACTTTGCTGAAGATAAACCTTGAAATTCTAAAATTCATCATAGTTTATTTTGCTTATGAACAATAGCACTTTATAGGAGGTCTGGGGATATTAAACGTAAACAGGAAAATATTGTGCACAGTTCACATTGTTTTGTTTAGTACTGAACACAGTTGTCCTTAAAATGGATGATTAATAACAAAAACTGATGGTTGAAATGTGTAAAAAATAAAAATAAAAAAAAATAAAAAAAACAGTGTTTTTACTCTGTCCATGAGAAAAATGTTAGAAACTGTAAAGTCATTATAATATAATTGCATCTGCCACAACACACAAATATTTTTTAAAAGAGAAAATGTTCCCTTTTAGAGGGACAACTATTTTCACACCAGTAAATAATACTTCCCTCTTCTGACCTTAATGAAGCATATAATGGAATCTTCCCATGATTCCCTGATTGCTCACAACGGAGCTAAAAACCAAAATTGGCTTCCCATAATGCCATGCACACACAATCACAGTCAGTATTCCTTAGGAATTCCAAGAGGGCACATGTGAGTTAAGGCATCATGGGATACGAGGCTACTTACACTGTATGCCACGCTGTGCCTTTAAAACAGAGGTTATGATAGTAAAAAATAACATATAGCAATAAAAACACAGAAAAGCAGCTTAATGGGAAGGGACGCATTTAACAGCATAAAACAAAAAAAACGTAAACTTCAGATAATCTTTGAAACTATACTTTTGCAGGATTAAATTACTGAATTTGCCCACCAAAAAAATAATTTTAAAAAACATCTCCCAGCTCCAAAGAGAACTTTGTTTGCAGTCGTTACAAATATACATTAGTCCTTTCAGAGAGCATAAAGCATTTTCAACCCCCTCTAACCCCCCAACATACGTGATCTGCTTCCCAAGACACATGTTCCCGGTAAAATCCTCCTCTGATCTGAACTCATTTACTAAACATTCAGGTTAAGTTAATATATGTCAAATATCTTGAAGTTTTGATAATTACTATTTAACCAGCGGCGCTGTAAAGACGACGGATTAAATTTATGAAGAGTCTCTAAATTTGGAATATTCTGCGTAATATTCATAGCTTGCCCTGGGTGAATAACTCCTGCCTAGCAGGGGAACTGAATGCGCTTCAGTGCCGTGAAGCAGAGATCTTTCAATTATCCACACCGGGGTTTCGTACATCAAGCAGAGTGTATTAATGCCATATACATCCTTTCAATTATTGAACACTCTGGTCCTTTCCATTCTTATTCAAGGGGCACTTTTTTTTTTTTTTTTTTTTAATTCTTTGATACAATTTCTTTAGACAGATGCTCTTAGACCTTTTGAGTAAAGGCGACAAACTGTAAAGTGAAAAAGCAAAGACAGACATACTAATTAAAATCCCCAATATGTACATACTACGTTATAAGGAACCATGCCATGTACCCAAATAGCCACAAGTCACCCCCACTCACATCACCAACAGGCAATCTGCTAAAAGGAGCGCTGCTTATAAGAAATACACAGTGCATGGCGCACAAGCAACTGTTGGTTAACCCCGCAATATAAGGCTATTGCAGATTAACCCCTTAAGGACA